AGGAGCAGCGGCTCTACTCTGAGTCCCTCCCGAATGACCGAGCTCCTTACCTTATCTCTAAGGGAGAGCCCAGCCACCCTGCGGAGGAAACTCATTTCGGCCGCTTGCACTTGCGATCTCGTTCTTTCGGTCACTACCCACAGCTCGTGACCATAGCTGAGGGTTGGAACGTAGATCGACTGGTAAATCGAGAGCTTTGCCTTTTGGCTTAGCTCTTTCTTCCCCTTGAAAGACCGATGCAGCGCCCGCATCACTGTGGACACCGCACTGATCTGCCTGTCGATCTCCAGTTCCATCGTCCCCTCACTCGTGAACAAGACCCCGAGATACTTAAACTCCTCCACTTGTGGGAGGACCCCATCCCCGACCCGGAGAGAGCATTCTACCCTTTTCCGGCTGACTACCATGGTCTCGGATTTGGAGGTGCTGATTCTCATCCCAGCCACTTCACACTCGGCTGCGAACTGTCCCAGTGAGAGCTGAAGATCACGCTCCGATGAAGCCAACAGAACCACATCATCTGCAAAAAGCAGAGACCTAATCCTGAGGTCACCAAACCGGACACCCTCAATGCCCCGGCTGCACCTAGAAATTCTGCCCATAAAAACTATGAACAGAATCGGTGACAAAGGGCAGCCCTGACGGAGTCCAACCCTCACCGGAAACAAGTCCGACTTATTGCCGCCCATGCGGACCCGGCTCTGGCACCGGTCATACAGGGACCGAACAGCCCTTAAAAGGAAGCCTGGCACCCCATACTCCCGGAGCACCCCCCACAGGACTCCCTGAGGGACACAGTCGAATGCCTTCTCCAAGTCCACAAAACACATGTAGACTGGTTGGGCAAACTCCCATGAACCCTCCACAAGCCTGTGGAGAGTATAGAGCTGGTCCACTGTTCCACGGCCAGGGCAAAAACCACACTGCTTCTCCTGAATCCGAGGTGCGACAATCCGGCGGACCCTCCTCTCCAGAACCCCGAATAGACCTTACCAGGGAGGCTGAGGAGTGTGATCCCCTATAGTTGGAGCACACCCTCTGGTCCCCCTACTTAAAGAAGGGGACCATCACCCCGGTCTGCCAGTCCAGAGGCACTGCCCTCGATGTCCACGCGATGCTGCAGATGCTTGTCAACAAGGACAGCCCCACAGCATCCAGAGCCTTAAGGAACTCTGGGTGGATCATATCCATCCCCGGGGCCCAGCCACTGAGGAGCTTTTTAACCACCTCAGTGACCTCTGCCTCAGAGATAGGGGAGTCCACACCCGAGTCACCATACTCTGCTTCCACATTGGAAGGCGTGTTGGTGGGATTGAGGAGGTCTTCGAAGTACTCCCTCCACCGACCCAAAACGTCCCGAGTTGAGGTCAGCAGCACCCCATCCCCACCATAAACAGTGTTGATGTTGCACTGCTTTCCAACCCGGAGCCGCCGGATGGTGGACCAGAATCGCCTAAAAGCCGTCCGGAAGTCGATTTCCATGGCCTCACCAAACTCCTCCCAAACCCGAGTTTTTGCCTCAGTGACCGCCAAAGCCGCATCCCGCTTGGCCTGCCGGTACCTGTCAGCTGCCTCTGCCCTAGATGTGCCCGACCAGGCCCCATGAGTACAGGCCTGGCCACCAGGCGCTCGCCATCGAGCCCCACCCCCAGGCCTGGCTCCAGGGGGGGGCCCCGGTGACCCCCGTCCGGGCAAGGGAAACCGTGGTTCCACTATTTCATTCATCATGAAGGGTCTTGTGAGCCGCACTTCGTCTGGTTCCTCACCCAGGACCTGTTTGCCTTGGGTGACCCTACCAGGGGCATAAAGCCCCGGGCAACTTAGCTCCTGGGATCATTGGAACACGCAAACCCCTCCACCACGATAAGGTGTCGGCTCCAGGAGAGGAATCTGCCTTTGTATCACCATAATACTTTCAGCTGCAGTTATGTAACCCTGTTATCTGGGATCGGGTTAGTGTTAGGGCTACTCCAGAGCCATTTCATATACTCATCAGCTTTGAATGCTAATGTACTCTTTATGACCATTCATTTCATTCCAAACTACAACTGGTTGTAATACTTCAAATGTGCAAATCTATTTCAAATGAATCCTGTCTAATATGATGATTTATCAGTGTTTGGCATACTTTACCACATGCTTCAAATAGTGCATAAGGTTTATCCAGCAGTAGGCAACAGTGAACAGGCCTGTCATCTTGCATTTAGTTACACATTTGTCATGTCAAATCAAGTGAAATTTATTTATAAAGCACATTTAAAAGCAACACTTGTTGCATAAAGTGCTGCACAATGCATATAGTCAGATACACAAGCTGAAAATAAAAGGTTAAAAGCAAAATGAAATATATACAGACAGGTCTTCAGTGACACAGCATCAGGGTGTTTCAAGGGGGGGGGGGTGACCTAATGTAAAACAGTAGTGCATTCGAAAGATTGCAAGCAGCTACTGAAAAAGCCCGATTGCCCTTAAATTTTAAATGGGTCGGGGGAATGAATAACAGCGACTGATCGGAGGATCTAAGAGTATGTAGCCAGTATGGGTAGCCAGTGCAAGTTCACCAGCACATGGGAGATATATTTAGCTATAGCATGTGAACCTACCATACTCCAAGCCTTGCTGGGTAATTTGGACCTTGACTCCCGGGTTGGTGCTCACAGTTGGGTCGGGGAGAGCCAAAAGCACCAGCAAGCACCACAAAGGCATTGTGTTTCCTGCGGAATCAGTCACACACATCAGTCTCTTGTCTCAGCAACACAGTACCATGTTAACTTCCAGATCATGTAAGAATTGGCAGCATGACCCAGGGTAACCTTACTGTAGCTGTGTATTGCATGCACCAATCCAGATTAAATATGACTTTATTGTATTGTCTTTTCCTTCATAACACTGTCTTTGTAAGTTGGAACACTTGTCTGCACTTTCCATAGCCTCCTTCTTATAAACTTACACATTGGCTATAATCTTTGGTATCAGTATCTATTCATTCTGTAATATTAACAGAGAACCGGGAGATATTAAACTTAAAGATATTCAAGCATTTTTGTGAAATTATATTATTGTATTACCAGGTGAGTGAACAGACAAACCAGACTGAGTTCCGCTAAATTTTGGAAATTTTGTCATAATGAAAAAATGAGAAGCGTCCTTCATCACACAATCTGTTTTTCTTATGTATGGCAATGTCACCACAATACGTTATTTTCCATTACCTGATAATTACCAGAATTTGACTGGAAAAATCTGTTGAATGTCCATTGAAAATATAGTGCAATTGAATAAACTGAAAATAAAGTGCAATTTGAATTGTAGTAAAATAGGATAAAATTAATTTTTTGCATATACTTCTATTGGCAGGCGTACTGGTGGCTCTGAGGCTAGGGATCTGTGCCAGCCATCAGAAGGTTGCTGGTTTGAGTCCTGTGATACTACTCCACCGGACCCTTGAGCAAGGCCCTTAATGTGCAATTGCTTCATCCTGGCTATGATGTTAATCTACATCCAGTCCAGTAAGGAGGTCCTTTAACATACAGGGTAATTTGGGGGTTGGTGGCAGGATTGTCAGTCCAGCTAATGGAAAAAAACACTGGTCCATTTGGACTAGTGTGGTGCTGAGTGTGAGACTAGTGTGGGGACAGGAAATCGAGCAAATTGTTCCAAAAGCGTCATTTTTACTATCACTATTGTTGGGCAAGTGCTTGTTACGTTCTGAGGATAATGAAAAGTTTATAAGTACGAGTAACAATCTGGTTACTTCAGTTTAACTCAGGAGTAAATATAAGCCTTTAAATAATGATTTGACATTTATCATGATAAATATCAGGACTTGACCAATATGATTTTTTTTATTGTGATGACATTTTTGGCCATCGCTCAGCTCTAGGTTTGCGTAATATTTATTCATTTTTGTGTTATTTGAAATATCCTACTGTTCAATAAAATATTATAAATCTACATCTTTTGATGATATCATTCTTTATATAGCTTGCCCATCAATCAGTTTTTAAGCTCAATGATAAGAACCGATAATATTTGACCAGAATTTCTCCCATTTGGGGCATTGAAACCTTCCTGGACATGTTGGCTATAGCACGAAACACTGACATAGCCTGAAGGGTCTGTAACCCTGAACAACTTTCTATGGCTAAAACACACTGCTCATCATAGACTCATATTGCAGCTTTAAGCTACTTTTTCTGGCAAGTCTAAAATTAGACAGAATTATGTTCTCACTTTTCTTCTCCCCTGCACATTAGTCACAGCCAACAGCATGACTGGAAAATGCTTGGTTTTGAAAAATGATTCTGTGCTAACTCCCAGATTATTTCCTTTTCAAATACCGTCTTACAGTTAAAACCAGAATGTCTGGTTTCCATAGTTGGCATTGAGTTACACTGCAAAGATATTTCTACTGTTTGTTCATTCTAGAATGTCTATTCTTTTGTTGTGATTCTAGCTTAAAACTACAAACTGGGCATTATTTGTGTATATGCTATTTATCTCTTTTCTTCTCTTAACCATAGTTTGCACAAAAACTCTAAGTTTTGTAACAACTTGTATGTCAGGAAAGTACTGTGTGTCCTGAGTAAATGTTAATATGCATTAAACATCTCCAAGTAATGCCTACTTTGAAGAGCACAATTGTTTTAAGATTAAATCTCTACACAAAAATACCTGCCAACCACATTCTCTTCACATGCATGGCTGTGTGTCAAAAGGTCATAACAGTTGCAAAAATACAAGAGAAAACATTTGAAAAAGCAGGAATATAATGTGACATACAATGTTAGTCATACATGGCAGTATGTAAATAAAACAGTTTGCCCAGTGTCCCCAAAAACTAATACACTAAATAAAAAGAAGCTTGACTTTGTTTTTGGTTACCTTATGAAATTATTCCCAGAATGAGTTAAGTCTGCTCTTCATTACCCAGGGCTGATGCAGGAGGAAGTGAAAGAAAAACAGACACACAGCCCTTAAATCTCTCTTCGTGACCCGGAAGAGACTCTCGCATAATTAAATGTGAATCATCAGCGTCAGACATGGCAAAAACAGAAGCTCACACAATACAGTTGCAGGTCCCAGATAACCACAGTGCCATCATTTTTAGTTTGACAATGAAAATGATACGTGTATAACCCAAATGATTTGGCTACCACTGTTGTTACAGTACCAAAGCTATTCATGCAATCAGTTATGTTGTTTGTGGTAGTGATTGCTGAAGTCACTTGCTGTCATGTTTTTAGGAGTTACTCTCTAAAACGTCCCATGGTTGTATGGGTCTCCTCCAGATAGTTTTCTCCTGCAGTCCAAGACATGCAGTTAGACTATTTCGTGTTACTAAATTGCCCCTAGTTTATGGATGTGCGCATGCCTGGCAATGGACTGGCCTTCTTTACAGGGCGCCCCCTGCCTTGTGCCCTGTGCTATGACAGATGAATGAAACAGTCTGAGGTGTATTTTTGCAGTACAGTTTTTTAATTTTGTGAAATATGAATGCTTATTTGTGTTTGTTTAACCAATAGAGTTACACAAGAGAAGCAAACCTGGAGCTTGTAGCAAACATACAGAGAATAATCCCAGGTATTCCTCCCACACTTAATCTTCTGGGTTAATGTTGGCAAGAGCAGCCCAATTTTTAGATAATAAATAATAAGATGTAATAATAACGATTGATACCTGTGTGGAAATTGCCTTTACACCTCCCTCAACTTGCTCTTTTTTGTAGAGTAAGTTGTCTGCGAAGGGCAGCCACCTATAGCAGCACCCAGGGAACTGGGGGTTAAGAGCTTTGCTCAAGAACCTGCAGATGTGCTGAGGCTGAACGAGCGACCATCTGATTACACACAAGCTTAGCTCACTGAGCCACACGCTGCCCCACATGTAGGACGACTTCAGGCAGTTTCTTGTCAGTGTGAGTCTTTATGGTGGAGTTTGAAAGTGTCTGAACTGCACTACAGTCAGATTTGGTTATATGTGGACAGGTGAGGTTGTCATAGTGTCAGTGATGGTACTCCAGGCTGGGTCCATGACATGTAAGCTCTGTAATGACAGTATTTTAAATACCCAGACCCAAACACCAGCGTTCTTTTGGGTAAAACTGCATTGTTTGTTTCTTTATATTACCTAGTTGGGCCCTTGAGCAAGGCCCTTAACCTGCAATTGCTTCATCCTGGGTATGACGTTAATCTACATCCAGACCTATAAGGAGGTCCTCCAACTTATAGGGAATAGCTTGGGGGTTGGTGGCAGGATTGGCACTCCAGCCACCAGAAAAAAACTTACACTGGTCCATTTGGACTAGTGTGGAACTGAGGTATCACTCAGGTTCTCATGCCTGAGGTGGTTTGTTGAGTGGTGGGTGCGGCAACACGCTGTAATCAGTGCCAGCTCCTTTAACTGACCACTATCTGGCTGCTCCTGCCTCCTTTATACACTCACCTAAAGGATTATTAGGAACACCATACTAATACGGTGTTTGACCCCCTTTCGCCTTCAGAACTGCCTTAATTCTACGTGGCATTGATTCAACAAGGTGCTGAAAGCATTCTTTAGAAATGTTGGCCCATATTAATAGGATAGCATCTTGCAGTTGATGGAGATTTGTGGGATGCACATCCAGGGCACGAAGCTCCCGTTCCACCACATCCCAAAGATGCTCTATTGGGTTGAGATCTGGTGACTGTGGGGGTCATTGTAGTACAGTGAACTCATTGTCATGTTCAAGAAACCAATTTGAAATGATTCGAGCTTTGTGACATGGTGCATTATCCTGCTGGAAGTAGCCATCAGAGGATGGGTACATGGTGGTCATAAAGGGATGGACATGGTCAGAAACAATGCTCAGGTAGGCCATGGCATTTAAACGATGCCCAATTGGCACTAAGGGGCCTAAAGTGTGCCAAGAAAACATCCCCCACACCATTACACCACCACCACCAGCCTGCACAGTGGTAACAAGGCATGATGGATCCATGTTCTCATTCTGTTTACGCCAAATTCTGACTCTACCATTTGAATGTCTCAACAGAAATCGAGACTCATCAGACCAGGCAACCTTTTTCCAGTCTTCAACTGTCCAATTTTGGTGAGCTCGTGCAAATTGTAGCCTGCTTTCATATTTTATGCTGTACCTTTATGCTAAAATTGTTTAATTTTTTGTCATTGATCTATGCTGACAAAGCAAAAACAGGACATCAGAAATTTTTGAAATATTGTTGAAAACAAAAAAACTATTTTGTATATACTGTATATTGTGTGTCTTATTGTTAGTGGATCTAACATGACATTTGTTGCAGCCAAGCATAAGGAAATATTAAATGTTACTTACGTCTTTATTTTAAAAGAGAGATAAAGTATAAAGAGATATAAATGCATTTATACTGTATGCAGTATGGAGGAAAACAAGACAAGAGAATTGCAACATTTAAATCAGATTAATAAGAATTCACTGAAATAATGTCTAAAAAACCATTAAAATTCCCCTCTTGCAATACTGTCTTACAAAGGACAAATGTAGAAAATTTAAACAACCTTTATACACTATATTGCCAGAAGTATTGAGACAGCCCTCCAAATCATTGAATTCAGGTGTTCCAAACATTTCCACAGCCACAGGTGTATAAAACCAAGCACCTAGGCATGCAGACTGCTTCTACAAACGTTTGTGAAAGAATGGGTCACTCTCAGGAGCTCAGTGAGTTCAAGTGTGGTACTGTGATAGGATGTCACCTATGCAATTAGTCCATTAGTGAAATTTCCTCGCTATTAAATATGCCACAGTCAATTTGTAGTGGTATTATAACAAACCAGGTATTATAAAAATTGGGAACAACAGCAACTCAGCCATGAAGTGGTAGGCCACATAAAATCACAGAGCAGGGACAACGCATGCTGAGGTGCACAGTGTGCAGGAGTCAGCAACTGTCTGCTGAGTCAATAGCTACAGACCTCCAAACTTTGTGTGGCCTTCAGATTAGCTCAAGAACAGTGCTTAGAGAACTTCATGGAATGGGTTTCCATGGCCGAGCAACTGCATCCAAGCGTTACACCACCAAATGCAATGCAAAGCGTCAAATGCAGTAGACTCTAGAGCAGTGGAGATGTGTTCTCTGGAGTGACAAATCATGCTTCTCTGTTTGCCAGTCCGATGGATGAGTCTGGGTTTGATGGTTGCCTGACTGCATTGTGCCAAGTGTAAAGTTTGGTGGAGGGGGGATTATGGTGTGGGGTTGTTTTTCAGGGGTTGGGCTTGGCCCCTTACTTCCAGTGAAAGGAACTGTTAATGCTGCTGCATTCAAAGCCATTTTGGACAATTTCATGCTCCTAGCTTTGTGGGAACAGTTTGGGGACGGCCCCTTCCTGATCCAACATGACTGTGCACCAGTGCACAAAGCAAGGTCCATAAGGACATGGATGAGCAAGTCTGGTGTAGAGGAATTTGAATGGCCTGCACAGAGCCCTGACCTCAACTTGGCAGAACACCTTTGGGATGAATTAGAGCGGAGACTGCGAGTCAGGCCTTCTCGTCCAACATCAGTGCCCGACCTCACAAATGCTCTCCTGGAAAAATGGTCAAAAATTCCCATAAACACACTGCTAAACCTTGTAGACAGCCTTCCCAAAAGACTTGAAGCTGTTATAGCTGGAAAGGGTGGGCCAACTCCATATTAAAGCCTATGTATTAAGAATGGAATGTCATTAAAGTTCACATGTGTATAAAGGCAGGTGTGCCAATACTTTTGGCAATGTACTGTACATTGATATATAATTGTCTTTATGTTGTCATTTGTTAGGAAATCAACAAAGATTATACACATTTGCAGTCCCCAGGGTTGAGTACAAGGACATCACTGTGTGAAGTGAACATCTGTTCCAAGCAGCATGTAGCCCTGGAGCAGTGAGGGAAATAGAGTAGCGTGAGGTAAATCAAGTTTACTGCTTCGAACAATGAGCTGCAGAAATGTAATTTTAGCATTTTTCATGTTTTAAAACTGTTCAGGGGTGTCAGTAGTCTTACCTTCTTGACTTGCAGCTTGCTGTTGATGAGGTTCATTCTACCAATGCCGGGAAGAGAAACACCCTGCTGAAGGTATCCTGTGTAGGCAGGATTTGTTCATAGCATTAGTGCATTAATGGTTTTGCTTAGAGAAACAGAGATTTTGGCCCTAAAACAATGGTCACCAACGTGTCGACTGTGACGTCCAGCCCCACCCTACTTGCCTGATCTCTGCCCTTCCCTTGGGCGTGATTGGTAATCAGCCATGCCTGAAGCTCATTAGTCTGACCACTTGTTCCTGCTCTCGTTAACCAGCCACAGCTGCCTTGTGTTTCCTCCTCTGATAATCATGTATATCAGCATCCCTTAGTCCTGTGCTTCTTATTCAGTCATTGTTCTCTGTTCACATATGTCATCCTTCCAATTCCCCATAATTAACACCCCTGCAAGGGCCCTGTTCACCCACACCCTACATCTGGGTCATCCTTCTCTTGCTGTAGACGTGTCAAAATGACTGAACCCAAAAAATGACCTGTTCTTCTCCAACTCCAGACGAGGACTTGATTAACTTGATTCCCCGGGTTGTCCATAAAAACGCTTACCTGTGCGACAGACGCCTGTACTGCCCCAGCGACCATGAGGAAAGCGATCTGGATCTGCTTCCTCTGGAAATCACACTTCCAGTTTCTACTCCAGCAGTTGCTCTGCTGCCAGCCAGCGTGTCTGTTTTGGGCTAAGGCGAGGCGAGAGAGACTTTTCTTTTACCCCCGAGGTTCTCCAAGAGCTATTAGAGGAACCCATTTTGTGGTAGTCCCCAGAGGTAGTGATTCCTTGGTTGAGCCCTCGAGGCAACAGCCGCAGGTGAGCAGGCAGGCGGGTGAGCAGGTAGGTGGTGACGAGGCGATGGCTGCAGGCGAGCAGGCAGGAGCTGAAGTGGAGGCGGTCTTGGTTTAGCAGGTAGGCAAGCAGGCAGAAGCCCATGAGAAGCGCTGTTGCAGGAGTGCAGGCAGGCAACAACGTGCCAACAGCGGCAGGCCAGCAGACGGGGGCCGCAGGCAAGCAGGCGAGCAGGTGGGAGCAGTCTCATCGGCTTGTGCTTCACCGCCAGGCCCCTCGCTAGAGTACACCATGTCATGACTGGGCTCCTTCCCAGAGCCCTCCACAGGATGGCTGGGGGCCGCGTCATCGGCGGCTTCTGCTGGCCGTCACAAGCCCTGTTCCTGACACATTAGCAGCCGACCACTCGGCGACCACCATATTGGTCACTCCCAGCTAAGATGAGTCAGGTCCAGAGAAGGAACTTGAGTGGGAATGCCCTGAGTTCCACTTCGTAGGCCCCCGATGTGACCCCATGAAACATTGATGCCAGGCTCAAGAAGGGCCACCGATGTCAAGGGGGCTCCAAAGGGAGAATAGGCGGAGTCTCTGTCTCCTGAAAAGGGACATGGGGACACACCGTGCCAGCTGTGTCCCATCCAGTTCCTGCTCTGTAGGCCCCTCGGGGTCCTCCTGTCCCAGCCCCTGTCTTGGTCTCTGCTCTGGACTAGGTGAATCCCCAGCGCCCTTGAACTCAGACTAGACTGACCTAGCAGTGTTTTCCTGTCCAGGAGTCCCGGCGGCACCCTCTTGTCCCTGTCCTGCAGATCTTCCCAGCCCTGTGGGCCTGGAAATGCTTTCATGCCCTGCAGGTCCTTCAGGACCCTCAAGTCCTGGTTCCTGCCGTGACCCCAATCCTAGTCCACCTCCTGTAGTCTCCAAGACACTCAACACCCTCCAGCTCTACAGTTCCCATGGTGCCAGCAGATCCCATTAGCCCACAGACACCTCGGGGGATCCGGGTCTTGGGACGGACGTCCAGCACCTTGGGGTACTTCAGAAGCCCAATCTGGCCTGAGTGTCTGTCCCTCTACCCTGACTTTTTGTGGTTTTCTCCTGGTCTGCACCCTGTTTGGTTGTCTTGCCCTGGCTCGTTGCCCCTATTGTCTGCACTTGTGCCCGTTGTCCCTGTGGTTCCTCCACCTGTGTCTTGTCTCTGTCTTCTTGTCAATCCAACCTGTTGTCCCTGCAGTCCCTTGTCCTGTTTCTGTCTGTCCCCTGGTTCAAGTAACATTCTATCTTGTCCCATGGTGTGCCCTGTTAGGTATCCCCTATTATGTCTGCCGTCATCTCCTAGGTATAATCTGCCCAGTCCTGTTTCTGGTTCTGTTTTTTCTCCCCAGGTCTTCAGTCCTGAGCAGCTGGCGTTCGACCGTGTCCAGCGTCCCTGGTCCTGCCTTGTGTTCTGGTCCCATGTGCCCGTTCTCTCAGCCAATCCCTTGGGTCCCCTCCCAGACTTGCTTGGCATGCCCAGAGTGCGTGCCTTTGGGGGAGGATATGGTGACGTGCAGCCCCGCCCTGCTTGTCTGTTCCCCCGTTTCCCTTGGGTGTGGCTGCTAATCTGTCACGCCTGAAGTTTGTTAGTCTTACATCTTGTTCCTGCCCTCTTGTTGACCAGCCACAGCTGCCTTGTGTCTACTCCTCTGCTAGTCATGTATATTACATTCATGTGATATTACTTTATTAGCATTTTGCATGTGTGACAGACATTAACATGTTGTGACGTCAGTTTAAACCACACTAATGAACTATTTCAGATTATTATTGTATGCTGTCATACCTTTGCACCCCTATAATGAAAAATTACAAGTAGCTGAATGTAAGGAACCAAATGGATACATTGTATAGTACCACCTTGGATTTTCTTAATCCCAAAACTCTTCTTATCTTTGTCATTTGCATTCTTTAATTCCGTTGTTAGCATTAAGGAGAATTTTGTAAAAGAAATTCCTGCCCTTACCGTTAACTTTTGGTATTACAGCCAGTTTCATAACCAACATGAAGATGTCTTTGAGATATGTTGTCTGTAAAACAGTCATGATACCATTATTCACTGTATATGGTACAACGTTGTCAACTCTCATGCATCTGGCATTACACTAATGCATTCAGACTCAACCTTATGGCAAATCTACGTTATTCCATTATATATAAAAATAGCTACATCAAAAGAGTTGGGGTTGTTTGTAAACCCTACAGATAAGTTATAAGGTAATAAAACTGTTACATACATACATATCCGATGGCATGTGTCCACATAATTGTCCTGATTTGAAAATCGTGGTCCAGCCATCTGAGATAATAACATGGCAGCCCTATGGTAGCAAATGCACAGACTATTGTCAGTGCTTTAATAGTGAGAATAGTGCTTTAGAAATAGTAATGGTATTTTTCTCACATGAAGATCTTCAAAATATGAAGCTTCCATTGTGACGTCAATTCTACAAGGAAAAGATATGATTGTACTTACTTTTTTCTCCTGCCATTTTACTGTACATTGGCCTATGCTTCAAACATACTTACCTGTACCGTTGTAGAGATCCATCTAGATTCTGTCCACTTATCCAGAAATTGCCACTGAAACTGGCATCCTGCAGGGATCATGGGCCATGGGAGTCATTTTCCTGTCACGTGTATCTGAAAACTTTACAATTTCATTCTATCTCACCAACCACTTTATAGGTGAAGAGAGGCTCCAGCGTGGTGTTGGGCAGGATGGCGTAGGCCGTGAAAGATCCGATGAGCTGCAGAATCACGTTATTGGGCTCAAAGGTCACCTTAGGTTGCGTGGATGTTTTCAGCAAAATCTTCACTTTCATGTCAGGAAAGCGTTTGGAGATCTAAGGCACAGAGGGATTTCAGCTTCACATTCACTGATCCATGTCATTAGTTATCAGAAGGTTCATGGATGCTATAGGGAGAGACAGGCTTACCTCTGGAACGAAAGCTCCAAATGTTCTAGTGTTCAACCTCATGGGAAAGCTTGAGGGGATCTGCTCACAGAGAAGGGAAAAGCACCTTGGTCACACATTAAAACCAGGCCTTGGGAGTGTAACCAGTAGGTAGTGGGTTTCTCAAAATCGCTAGCCAGATGCCCCCAGGACAATGAAGTTTTCCTGTCAGGCAGCAAAATGTAACAACACCAGCTGGACAGGATATCAGTAAAATAAAATTCCCTCCTTTATTTGCCTTTTTTGCTCTTTTTATTTGGAGAAAAATACTTTGACTACCGAGTTGTTGATCATGATGATGGTTTGTCCTCTATGAAGTGTACGCTTAAAGTCTTGATTTATAGAAGGGCTTATTTATTGTGCAATCGCCTTGCACTGACATCTTGATGAATTTTTGGTCATGGTGAGTAGAGTCCATTAAAGCAAGTAACTTAAGTCAAGTATCGACTGGTACTCTGCATATGGTGACGTGAAATAACGTTAAATAAGTGTTATATAAAAGAATATTAAAGGCAAACGACATAAAGAGAAAACATATTACTGGATGGGACTGATACACAGTGAAAACAAAATGGTTCTGAGGTGCCCGCTATCAGTAATGAGGATATCGTTAATTATCTGGTTTCTTAAACGTCATGGGTAACACTAAAGCAAATGAAAGCGACAAAAAGACTGGAGGTTAAGTTTCTTTAATTCTGGCTGGATAGTGTGGACTCCTATGGAAGCCCATTTTCGCCAGTAAAAGAAAAAAAAATTAAATTACGAAATGGAAAGTCAAAATTACGAGATACAATGTCATAATTACGAGATAAAAAGTTGAAATTATGAGATAAAAACTCAAAATTATGAGATAAAAACTCATAATTACGAGATCGAAAGTCATAATTACGAGATAAAAAGTCAAAATTATGAGATAAAACTCATAATTACGAGATAAAAAGCCAAAATTACGAGATAAAAAGTCATATGCTTTCACACACCAGTCCAAATATCATATCTTTGTCTTGAGGTCTCATTCAGTTTGACATAGGAATGGATGACTACATTGAGGATTACTTTAAACGTGGCTTTACAACAAATGAAATACTTAATTTGCTTGTTGAATTGCATGCCATTGTATTATGCAAACACACCCTTGAGAGGATTTTAAGCAAGAAGCAAGCGATGGAAGAATAAAACCAATGTGGCTGAGGTGGTAACCTTTATTGTACAGCAGTTGCAAATGTCTCGTCAAGACACTCAGTCCAGCAAGACTAACAATAATGTAGTGAAAAGAGGGATTCAGAGTCTGGCAGTTGTATCTAACATTTAAAAGCATCACTTGTAATGGCTTACGTTTGAATTGCGTCTCTTCACATTGACGCCAATGAGGCGATGACAGGCCTTCAGCTAGACTGGGGCTCATGCGTACTTCTTATCTCGTAATTTCGACTTTCTGTGTTGTAATTTCGACTTTTTTATCTCGTAATTATGACTTTGTGTCTCGTAATTTCTATTTTTTTATCTCGTAATTATGACTTTCTATCTTGTAATTTCTACTTTCTATTTTATTTTTTTTTCTTTTACTGGTGGAAATGGGCTTCCATAGACTACATTAATTATATATTGTTTATTGTTATATTATTATCATCTGGTTTGCCTGATGTGAAATGATAAATTCTTAAATTTTTAACGTTTTTTTTCTTGAATTGCCTTGCTTTTTGATTTTTATTTAAGCTAGTCTAAATTCATTTCAGGCTACCAAAAGGAAGTTGATGATAAGAAGGCCTATGATGTCATCTACTTAGATTTCCAAAAGGCTTTTGATGTTGTCCCCCACAAGAGGCTCTTACTTAAACTCAAAGCGACAGGTATTTTAGGAACCTGGATTGATAACTGGTTAACAGATAGGAAGCAGCAAGTAGTTATAAGAGGCATAATGT